TTTAGGTGGTTAAATTTAGTTTAAATGTGGTTATTATAATTGCTTAATTGAGTGCATATTGATCCATTAGATGTGGTTGAGGTCTTGGTTGGGTTAATGACATAAGTTTAGTAGTCTAGACCCTTGATGGCTTGTAAATGACATAAAAGTGATCATTTGACATTTGGGTGTCTAATTTTTAAATGAAATGTTAGATTGAAGTAAAAATCATGTCATTTGTTAGAATGTGAAATAAGCTTTGTATAAGCATTTGAATCACTTCAATCGGATATTATATGTGAAAATGGCACACATTGAAAATTTGCCCTTAGAGAACTGTCCAGATAGTAAATGCTATCATGTGCGCCACAGCACATGATGATATGCCATGATGCATAGCACAAAGCGAGACTTTGCCTCTTTGTACACTAGCTGCGGCATATGTGTTAGTTTGAGCAAAAATGACCTTTTTGCCCTGTTTTCTTGTATGATTCATTTTTATATTATTTCATGCTTCCGTTGTTAAACCTTTATCAATTTGAGGTCAAACTAATGTTTGGAAGGGTTTTGGGATCCTAAATGTTATCAAAGTTTTATAAATTTATTTTTAACCCTTTTATAATTAAGGTAAGCTTTGGAGTTTAATAATTCCTAATTACATTTGTATGTATGAGAGTGGTGAAATGATGGTAATGCTAAGATGGACATTACCACCTCAAACTATTACCTAAAGCTAATTCTACCATAGCTCTAACCTCCTCTTGCTCACTTTCTTAGCTTCTTTTTGTTTCTATAGTAGACATTGCGTCTTGAAAATTTAACTTTCTAACATGTTTGTCGCAACAAATGACACAGTGACGGAAACTTTAAACTAGCCCATTAATTTGGGCATAAGATAGCCCAATATAGCTCTTAGGGTTCCATTATAGGTGCTATATAGGGTCCAATAGATCCAACGGTCATCCACCCACTATAATTAACTCTCAAAAACCTTAATTAATTAATTCCCATAAATGAATTTAATTAATTTCATTTTAAATTTTAGGATGTTATACTTTATGTGTGGATTGGTGCCCATGGTTAGCTATTAGCATGTGGTAAAGTTTTGAGACACTTGGGTTGGTTTAGAATAGAAAATTATGATTAAATGGTCCCTATGTCCAACTTCTTCATTTGAAGGAATTTTGAAATGGAACCAAAGCCAACAAATTTTCACAATATAAGTTTCATGTAAACACTTAAATCACTTTAATCGAATGTCAAATGAAAAAGTTGTGCAAGTCGAAAGTTGGGACAAGCATACTGTCATGACAAGTTGTTGTCATATAGTGTGCGTTGTAGCAGATGTGCATCATGCCGCGGTGCACCTTTTCTATTCCACACTTTATTGCTAATGTCCATTCAGCCACAATGGATGGTGTCAAAATGAAAAAAATGACTAGTTTGCCTTTTTTTAAATGTGTGATGCTACTTGGTGTTTATTTTTTACTTTCGTTTGTTAGAGTACTATGATTTTTGAGTTTTGAGCTCAAATGGTTTCATAAATTTGATTTAAACTTGAAATCCCATTTTCAAAAGAGTTTCTATTTAATTTTGTGTTTGAATTCTCTTAACCATGATTATCTTTTTTTCTACCATAGTAATGGTTAAAAGGGAGATTTAATTCTTTATTGCAATGATAGCATGTGATTAATTAGTTATTAGTAGACTAGTATTAAGACAAATCATTTTTAAAGATCAGGGTCGTTTATACGAGAATTAAGTTTCAGAGTTAAATGTCCAACCCGCCCACTTGAAATGAAAACATGTAGCATGTCGGATATTTCAGAATATAATTACAGTTTTCCCAAAAACATGGAAAATATTGGGAAAAAGAAACAATTTTTTTTCTTCTGAAAAAAAGTTAATATTTAAAAAAAATCGAAAACGTTGAATAAGCATGGAGACTGTCGAAGAAGGCTTATATACATAAAAGACAACTTGTAGACAAGATTTCTTCGGTGTTCATAAAAAAAAATGCAAATTATTAAAGAAACATACATGTATTGAAAGAAATATTAGTACATAAAAACAACTTGCATATATTTTTTTCTTAAATTTCCATGAAAAGAACTTCCATGCGGTGAAAGAATTGTGCATGTATTGAAAAAAAAAAAAAAAAAAAGATTGCATTCTAAGCAAGAAGCCGCCTATTTCTGCAGAGGGTAAAAAGGATTACATGTGAGGAGAAAGTGGTAAAAGTAGTTTATACATTTACTTTATTTTTAAAATTTTTTTACCTTTGGTGTCTAGTGTTTTATTGTTGGGGCAAAAAAAAAAAAAAAAAAAGATGTCAAGTGTTATTGTTGGGGAAAAAAAGGATGTTTAGAATTCATGCTCTATAAAGGTTGCAGCCAACTTTCTTTCTTTATGTATCTTTTATTATTATTTTTTTTTTGGATGGAATAGCAGGTTTTTAACACGACACTTATTAGTTTTTCTTCAATATTTTATCTGAACAATATAAGATATTTTTAAAAGCCTCAATTAATCTCAAAAAATTGGGCATTAGCTAAATTTTAGATGCTTTTTAATTATCTCCCTACCTTATTATGCTCTTCTTAAATAATTAATGAAAGTGTTTTGAACAAGTTAAATGTTATATTTATTCTACTTAAGGATACAGTTGGAAATATATGAAAATTTTTAAAAAATCAAGATTTTAATAAACCCATTTTATAAATGTAAGTTAGTTAACAATGACTTATATTATAATCTAAAAGAAGTACTCTTTTAATCCTATTTATAGGATATATAAAATATTTGTTTGATCATGTTTATAGGATATCTCTATGATTTATAAGTATACCTTTATCCTTTTATCCTATTAAATGTCAAGAAAGTTATTAGGCACCTTTTTTTAAAAGCGTGCATATTTAATAAGAGTATATTTAAAAATTTATTAAAATTTTAGATAAAATTAATGAGGTTTAAATTTTGTTTATTTATAATAAAATACGTTAAAAGTAACTTATAAATAAAATTGAAACTGGTGTATGGTTTGTAACTTTGAAGAATTTTTTATCTCAAAATATAAATAATTTAAAGATAAAATTTTATTAATAATATTTTTATAATATTATCTTTTAAGTTGAGAAAGAATTGAAATTATATTATAGTATAATGATGTAGCATGTGGGGTCATTTTTTAAAATTTATAATTCTATTATAAAAAGTAAATAAGTAAAGTATTATTAATGTGTTTTACTAGTACGCACAATCTTATGATTTGTGACACAGGCTATGAACAACTTTTACTTGGACTGTTTTTTTGGATTTTTTTTTTGATAAAAACAACTTTTACTTTGACTATCTTCTTTTTCTAGTAATATAATTTCTCTTTTTCTCACCACACAAAAAGAATTTCTCTTTTTAATACTTGCCGTAACAAAATTCATTTGGCGATGGCTGTTATACCATTGGTCCATTTCATCTTCTCTTTCCAATCTTTTTGAAGCGGAATAATTTCTTTTAGATGAACCAATTACTTTTTTTTTCTTTTTAAAAAAACTTAGAAAAAAATGACAAATGGGTCCCAAGAGATCAATTGATTCAAATGAAATCCAAAGTATCAAATTCTATGAATTTATAAGTTTATTTTTTAATTTTATAATTTCATTCAAATTTTAACATGATCAAAAAAAGAATAAATTTATTCTTCTGTTAAAATGTGAAACACAAGTTACAAATTTGTTACAACAAAATTGTAAAATTGAGACTTAAGCTTATAAATTCTTAAAATTTAATATTTAAAATTTAATTTAAATTAATTGATTCTTTTAAAACCTCCTTATCATTCTCCCAAAATCTTATTGAACAGGTAAATGAACATGTATGTGATGGTTTGACTTAAGGAACTGGATGAAATTGTCTAACGGGTCACCAAGTCTTGGATTTTTTTTTTTAACATTTGTTAAGTTAGTTTATAATATATTTTTTATTTTATAATATTTATTATATAATGATTTTCTGTTTTATAATATCTTGGTGTATTTTTTGTATTTTTATGAACATTTTTTGTAACAATGGTTTCATTTTATAACCGTCAATGTTAAGTGGATCGCTAGTGAAGGACGTGAGACTTCATATCCGAAGTTTACAGATAAAAATAGCAGCATTGCACAATTTTTTTAAAAATTATGCTCGAAACATAAATTTAAATCTTCAAAACCCATATAGATTGATAGGAGATTATTTCAGCTTAACTTATGGTTTGGACTTTGGAGTTCAAATTTTAAATATACAACAATGTTAAATCTTGATAATAGAGCTTGTTACTTAAAAAGAGTCTTACAATATTCAATCAAGATCAATATAGATCTTCATTGAATTCCTTCAACTTGATGTGGGGTAAACTCGGATACTAGTTAAACAAACAGTAAAATAATTATAATCCTTCCAATTCTATTTACAAATAAAAAAATATGATTTTTTTAAATTTTAATTAAAAGGCACATTTTTAATTAAATTTTTATTACAAATTTTTCATTTTAACACACGTTAAATATTGGTGTATATTATTAGACATTCTCTTACGTTTGGATTTAAATTAAGAATAATTGATTATAAAAAAATTGATTAATCGAATGTGATGATATTTGGATAATATTTTCTAAAATTCATTTTGATAAAATTGAAAATATTTAGTTAATTTTTTATAATCAATTTTAAATGTGCAAATTACAATAATGGACTTTCCTTTATATAATGCATATGTTGGTAAGCAAAATGAAGGGTAAAAATGTAAAATTGACATTATGACAACCCCCAAAAATTTTATAGTTGATTCTCAAATAAGGTTTGTTGTTACTTCTTCCAAATGAAATTTTGGTGTCGGAAAGCAATTTTCATATCAAAAGAGAAGGAACGAACTACTCGCGCCTGGGGGGGTAAAATTGATTTCGGTGCAACGCAAGTGCAAATGCTGCAGTTCTCAGCATCAGTTGGCCGCCACCAACCCTGTGAATGCGACCCCACCGCCTCCATGGACTTGTATATATAGAGAGAGATATGTGTGTGCTTGTGTGTCTCTCTGCAATAACGAGGGTCAAGCGAAAACAAAGGTGTTTTTGGGTCAGTCCTGCGAGAAACGATAACTTTCCTATTCTTTCTTTCTCTTCCTCCTCTGTGGGTCCCCATTCTCCTTCTGGTCGCATCTTCCTCCTAAACGACGATCCACTCATTTCCACATCAACCCTTTCTCTGTGGTTTCGCAGCTGCTCCTATCAACCCTGTTATCTTTCTCGTTTCTGGTTGTGGTTCTACTTTGATACCATTTCCACCTCGTTCTCGTTCCTCTTCGTTTTATATTTTTTCCTGCTTATTGGACCCGAGATTTGTTTTTTTATCCTCTCGCGTGCTGAGATTTTTGATTCGTTTTCGGTTGTTTTTCTGTTACCCGTCAAGTCGTATCTAGATTTATTACCTAAGTTTCTATTTAATTTGTTGGGATTCGGTTGGTGTGGAGGTGGTTGATTTGGTTGTATTTGGGGATTGGCGCTTGTGGTCTTCAATGGGCTGCTTGGACGAGGGACATTTCAATGTTGAGCTTGAGAATGTTGTGAGTACTAGTTGTGCTGAATTGGGTTTAGAGGAGGCGAACACAACTGCCATTGAAGATGCTGTGAAAGTTCTGTTGCTTGGTCTCGGGGAAGATATAAACAGGGAAGGCATCAGAAAGACACCACTTCGTGTTGCCAAGGCCCTTTGTGAAGGAACCAGAGGTAACTAGCAACTACTATCTATCTTAAACTTCTTTGGTATTGGCTGTTATCTTACTTTATGCCGTGTTAGATGTGATTTCATTCTCAGCGCCCAACAAAATCTCCGTAAAGCGACTTGTCCCCTACTTCTGTAGAGGAATGCAAAGGTAAAAGAGATAATTATTTGTTTGGAAAGAGTGATAAAAAGTGGTCTATACAATTTTTTTTTTTTACCTCTTTTCGTTTTGTTATAGCTTGGAAGACTCAGATCTTTTGAGGAAGTTTGTTTTTGCTGTTAGGTGTTATTGCTGTTATCCTCTTAACAAGGCTTCTTTTAGCATTTCGCCGTGACGTCTAGGATTTATACCTTAGAAAGGTTGTTAACAACTTTTCTGTTTTCTGAACAATAGGTTGTTGACAGGTCAACATCTTAATTTCCTTGAATAATCATTTGAAACTATCTTATAACAACTTTTACTTTCACCATCATTGTCTTCTATAAGTAGAATTTCTCGTTTTAATACTTGCTTGCTGTTCCAAGCTTCTGCCTAGTGACGGCTGTTATACCGCTCATCTGTGCTTTAAATTATTTTTGAAGCGAAAGAATTTCTTTTGGCCTGGTGTTATGATTTGGATGTCAAGCCATTTTTTGTGGTTAGCTGAACTTACCCAAGTCCTCTCTTGCCTTCTCTGTTCCGCAGTGCAGTGCAGAAGCTGATTCCTTCACGTTACTCATGTTCATTTGAAATTTTGAACAAGAAATGGTTTATATTTATGAATAGGAATGATCCTCATTTTTTGGATCCCAGTTTCCCCCAGTTTTACTTTTTTAGTAAACTAGTCGAGCTCATATGAATATGACCTGGACTCATTCTCTGTGAGCTGTAAAGTTGGTGGAACTCACCTCACGATTCCAACACTGTGGGACCCACCTTTCTCATTTTCTTCATTTTCTCAAAAATTCCTGATTATAAGTTATAAATTTTCAAATTTGTTCCTTATTACCTCAAACTTGAATCTTTTTTTTTTTGAGCATTCCTCAGTTCCATACAGTGGCGTTTGATATTGGTTGATTCTGGTGTGCTGCTGTTTCATGGCATTCTGTGGTGTCAGAGAATTACTTATATGAATTTGAATTGTTTATAGGCTATGGCTTGCATTGTTATCTTAATAGCCCAGCTCAATTCTGCAGCATTGTGTTCTAACTTTTAATTAAGTGTTTGCTCTTACTTTAGGGAGCCATACTTTCACATTACTTGGAGTATGTATTTCATCTTCAATCTCACCTAAAAAATTAGTGATAATTTATTATTGGGGTCTGCTCTAAGTTTCATGATCAATTACTTCTATATTTAAATCATGAAGCTGCATCAGATAGGAGGTTAAGGATATTTTCCCCTAATCACATTATCTGTTTGTTTATTTGTTTTGAGGAAATAAGTCAGCTTGTGTTAAATCCTAATAAAGTTGTTAGTAGAGTCATTTTATGTTTCCTCCTTTCTGTATTCTTGGTGATACGGCAGGAAGAGTGAAGTTCTCTCTTTTGTATCTAATAGTTTTGTGGTTCACTTTGATATAATATGGTATATGTGGCTTGCTCTCAAAGCTCTTTTTTTACTTTTTGTCATTAGTAATTATCATTTATGAGGAGGTTTTCCTTCAATGTTAATTTCTGAATTGCAGAGCCATTTCCGAGATCTCACAGTAATTTGATGTTATGGGGTTTGACATGTTTTCCTTCTTTGTTTAGTACATTTTAGGTATCTTTGTGGAAATGCTTGGCCTTGGTCCATGCATTATCTAGCTTCAGTAATGTCCAAATGACCCTTTTTTTTTTTTCAAGTCTAACACTATCCTATTTTCCTTAAGTAATAAACATTCAATTTAAGGATTCCGATCTTCCTTCAGGTTACAGACAAAAGGTGAAGGAAATTGTTCAGGGTGCTCTATTTCCTGAAGCTGGTCTGGATGATAGAGTTGGACATGCAGGGGGAGCAGGCGGACTTGTGCTTGTTCGAGATCTCGACCATTTTTCTTACTGTGAGTCCTGCTTGCTTCCATTCCAAGTCAAGTGTCATGTGGGTTATATCTCTTCTGGTCATAGGGTTGTTGGTTTAAGCAAGCTCTCCCGTGCGACTGATGTTTTTGCAAAACGACTCCAAGAGCCTCAGCGTCTAGCAGATGAGATCTGTTTTGCTTTGCATCAGGAAATAAAGCCTGCCGGTGTCGCTGTTGTACTCCAGTGTTCCCATATTCACTTTCCAAACATAGAATCAGTTCTTCTTGACTCTAAACACCGAGGATGGGTGAAGATACTTGTTTCCTCAGGTTCAGGGGTTTTTGAGAACAAGACTGCAGATTTATGGGCTGATTTCTTTAACCTCCTTAAATTTAGAGGCGTTGATAGGGAAAAAATACAGTTTAGAGGATCATCTGATCAGTGCTGGTGTCCTTCTCTGTCTTCCCTTTCTACTGAAGCTTCCTCCAAAATTGAAGCGGTCAACTCAGTGACTATCACTGCAGTAGTGTCGATTCTCAAATCTTTGGGAGAAGATCCATTAAGGAAGGAGCTTACAGGGACTCCGAGTCGATTTGTGAAATGGTTGATGAACTTCCAGAATAGCAACATGGAGATGAGGCTGCATGGTTTCCTTGGTAATGGGATGAATTCTTCAAACGTCAATGGGAAGGTTAACTTGAATGAGAAGCAAATGTGCTCTGAGATGAACTTGCCCTTTTGGTCTCAGTGTGAGCATCATTTACTTCCATTTCACGGTGTTGTTCATATTGGATATCTCGGCTCAGAAGGATTTAACACCATCGGAAAATCCCTTTTGCAGTCAATAGTACATTTTTATGGTTTCAAGCTTCAAGTTCAGGAAAGACTCACTAGACAGATAGCAGAAACCATTTCACCACTGTTAGGTGGAGATGTAATAGTAGTTGTAGAGGCAAGCCACACCTGTATGATTTCCAGGGGGATTCAGAAGTTTGGAAGTAGCACGGCTACCATCGCTGTGTTAGGACATTTCTCAACCGATTCTTCAGCGAGGGCATGTTCTTGCAGGGCATTCCAAGCCCTACGTCTTGCGGAGGGCTATGATTGCTCTTTGTTTGAATTCCCTCGGAATAATTAGCCGTTGTTCTAAACTGTCAGGCAGAACCCATTTACAATAAAATAAGTAGCACAAGAAGCATCATCATCATCATAAAGAGACATGTTGATCCCATTTACAATAAAAATAAGTAGCATAAGAAGTATCATCATCATAAAGAGACATGTAAATATGTTAGACATGTTATTCATTTGGGATCCATTTCTGATCTGTTTACATGTCTTTGTTATGAATTTGGTTTGGTGGTTGTGTACTGCTATTTAGAGTCCCCCAAGTCATTCTTCAAGGTTCATTATCTGGTCAGCTAGAAGTGCAGCAGCTTACACATGGATTATAATTGTGAAGAGATCCTTCCATGGATATTCGGCAGAACAAAGATTACAAGTTTCTGATATTTTGTTGTTGTGCAAGTGATTTACATTTTACAAGCAGCGATGGTTTTGATGGTTTATAGTCCGATCGTTTTTCTTTCATGAGTGATTACTACGTTTTGAATATCATTCTTGTGTTGTCAAATATATATATATATATATATCGTTGCTGTTACCCTACTAGTTTTCTTAGTGTTACTTCCACTCTTTAGTCTGTGTTCTCTTTGATTTATATTGTTGAATTATAAAAAGATTCAAAAATTGATATTTCATGCTAGAACGTTAGACATTCATATTTCTAACGTGTTCTTTTTACTGGCTTGAATACAAAGGGAGAGTGACAAATAAGTCCAAGAGGGATCATTTTATCCTTGTAAAGTCTCAAGAAATTTTGAAATACAAATCAAGTCCCGTAAGTCATTGGCTGATATTAAGATAACTAGCCATTGCTGATGAGGCTATGGCTGTTCACCGTGGCCAGCGCGACCATGAGCCGTGATGAGACCCCTTCTGTGTCAAATGCACGGCAAAGGGGGTGAATTTCTGCCAAGCCTTGGACCTCTTTCTAACATCCAATTAGAGTGATTTATGAGTCTATAGAAAGCTTAAATAATAAATTAGCTATTGGCACTGTTTTTGTTTCAAAAGTTTATCATATTAAAAAGTTGGACACCTGGAATCAAAATCAATTATTTTTTACACTTAAATACTTTCAAGGTGTTCCAAGTGCTAAAATCCAAAACGATCTAAACCAAATTCTTGGGATGTATGACAACTTATACAATGCATCACATTATAAATATTCAGCTTATAACTCATTTTTACTTCTTAACCCCAATTTCAACAAAAGCCATAGGGAAGGCAAGGTAGCATAAATGTAGTAGTAATCAAACCTTTTATAGCCATCAAAAGTAATCATAGACCTATTGGCATCAGTATTTAGGACCTGACTACCTTTAGCGTCACATACCATAAGGCTAGGATGCTAAATACAATCACTCATCACAAATCATATGCATTGGTGCAAGTAAATTAAAATAATTGTCCTAATTTGTAATATCTGCCTTGACATATCAAGACAACACTCACACATCGTTGTATTAAATAGAATTAAATAAAATCTTTTAAAGAAGTTACCATAACTCAAGAGTTTAAAGATAATTAGTTTAAAATATTGAGATTCCAAGAAAATCCTTTTTAAAATATTATTTGAACTCAAACTGTGGTTAAAAATTTAGAATAAGTGCAAAAGCATGGAAAACAAACCACGTCAAAATTAGGCTAAAAATGCCATTCTTATGCAAATTTTGCTCTGTCCACCGCGGCAGATAGCATAGAGGGACAAGTCCCTCAAAGGCCTCTTGCACCGCGGCGCAACAACTACGCACCACGGCATGCACCCACTATCATGACAGCCCTCTAAACTTTTGGAGCGCGCCTTTTCACCATCCAATGTTCAATTTGAGCGGTTTAAGTGTTCACACGAAGCTCGTTGAGCCCCCTAGCTAAAAGCCTTAATTTTACAATCAAATAATCATTCTTTTAAAAGATGGACACTTAAATTTTAAATGGTTCATTTTCACTTCAAAACACACCTCAAGAGTGTCCAACTCACAATGCTAAATGTCATTAGCCCTAGAGACACTTTGACCACCTCAAATGGATCACACGCAACATAACAATTCATTCACATCTCACAATTAAGCAATCACGTTTAAAATGATCACCAAATCTCCATTTGACAATAACACAATGGAGCGGATAAAATTCAACACACAAATCAATTGATCATTTTGGCACACAAAACACTTGAAATATATATATCACATGTAAGTGTAACTTGGCCAAGCACACACACTTAATTCACAACATCGATCTTGGACCAAAATATACACACTTATCATAATTTCATACAAATGATATCCAAAATATGTTGTGTTCCTAAACTAGCAATATATAGTGACAATATTCACTCTTCTATTGCCTCTTCCTTTCCTTTGCCCCTACCGAAGCCCTCACCTGTAAACTATAACTACGGCGTGAGATAAACATCTCAGTAATAAAATAATTCACTATTATTAATTAACATGCACAATCATAAGAGAGTAAAACTATGGAATTTCAAAATATACATTTAGCATATCACCACATATTCTCTTCATCAATATAAATCTTTTTTCACTAGCACAATCATTCTACTATTCGAGCCTCTATATCACCCCGACCAAAACATAGGCTCCTAGACCAAGTGCACATTCACAATGATCCAAGCTTACCTTCAGTAATAGGACCACCTAGCCAAAGATGTCCTATCCTACTTCCAAACTACGGTTTCCCCCTATCGCACATGAATTGGGGTGTCATTACTCTAACACCGCATCATTGATGCTAAGGAGCATTACTCTCTAACACCATATCCTGCATGGATACTAAAGAGAAAATATTCAGCACTATACCTCATTAGACACTAAGGAGGTATATGTCATATGGACTTTCACTACTCCTTACTACGGGTGAACTCTCACCCCCAACATGATTATGTCCTCACTCAACATATATATCACATAAATATTTTAAATTTCTCAACTCATTTATTTATAACTTTCATCATACTTATCATTTGTAAAAATAGATTTTCATGCATAAAATCACATTTCGCAATATGCAAGGTTATTAAATCTCAAGTTCAAATCCACATATCTACTCAAAAATAATTAAGCAATATAATTAATCAGTGTAAATTATTCCGTTATCTCAACCCTTTATCATACACAAAAGGATTGCCGTGATTCAACTTTAGCTCCACATGTTCTATACATACAATATAGCTCGAGCAACGCTCAATCTACACAATCAAGTGTCAATTATCAATTGTCACTCCGGATAACTCTAAATTCTCTAGGTTTTAAGTGTCTAAAATACTCAAATTCCTTTTCTAACAATATCAACTATTCCCAAACACTCTAACCATTCTATTAAACATCCCAACACACCAAATTCGCTAACTAATGTCTCAAATTGTCTCAAAACTCTCAAATTATACTTAAGGTTTGTTCAAACCTTTACCAAAAATTTTCAACCACCACAAAGCTCATAAACTTAGGGTTAGAGGCTTGATTTAACTCCTCAAGACCTTAAATAAATCAATGGGTTCGGTCTAAACTCAAGGAAACCGAAATCAAAGCCCTCATTGCCCCACTAATCCAGATTTTGCATAAAAAAGGGAGAGGGAGAAGAAAAGAAGGCTTACCCAATGTATATGAAGCTTGAAAGGCCTCCAAAATTACGTTGGAAGCAAGCTTTAGCAGCCACAAGTCTCCCTTCATCGCTACTTTTGAGTTTCTTCTTTCTCTCTTTTATTTTTTGAGTCTGATTTGTGATCTGATAAGTACAGATTTTGCACATGCGCCACGGCGCGTTGACATGCTCGCCACGATGTGTGGCACAGAAAATTCTACAAAATTTCAAACTCCCTTTCGTGCCATAGCTTGCTTGAACATCGACCTAGCTCTCTTCTAAGGCTGTCCAAGGATTCAAAAACCATATTAGACTCCCATAAATCTCGCTGAATCAAAAATTCATCTAAATCGATCAAATTACCCTTGAAAACATTGATAATTACTAATGAGAAAATTTAGAATGTTACATAGTTGACAATATATCATTATTAGTTACACAAATATAAAATAAAAGGAATAGACATATAGTAGGAATCACAAATTCCTATGTCTCAAGTGCCTTCTCCTTAATTTTCCTGAAGCTAGAGCCTAAGCTAGAGCTTATAATATGTAGAATAAGGGTGAGTACAACTTAGTAACCAAGAAAAACTTTAAATCACACAAATGTAAGTTAAATCAATTAAGGTATGCAAAGTAGACTAAAAAGAATCATTCCAAAATTTAGTACAATATCAAGTCACATAAAATCACAATATCACATCACATCGCATGATGTTACAAATGCATGATTAACAACTCTTTATCTCCTCCATATATTTTGACTAAAATTTGTAGGCTGATAAATTTGATAAGACTAAGTCCTTGTTAATGGATTAACCCAAATTCACTAATCATGAAGAGTTATCATGTCAAAGGTGCTATACTCATTCTCGAACCATAGATTCTCCCAATTTCTCGAATTCATTAAGGTGTCACAAGTCGCACAATTCACCCAATCTAGGGTGAGGTTAAGGATAGAGTTTAGAAAACCTATGTTTACACCTATTTCTAAGTGAGATTTAGGAAAACTCAAACATAAAACCAATCATCAAGGCCACCAATGGTGTTGGTTATATTCTAAGTAAAAGATAAAGTGCTCCTCCTCCTAGGGCAACCTCCTACACAATATATGATCATACAACCATATATAAAGCATCACCATACAAATTTACATCTCATATTAAACTATCATAAGAATGCATATATTATCTCAAAATCTCATATTTCCTAAAAGCAATTCATTTCTTGATTTTCATATTATAATAATTTTCATCAAAAGTGAACTTGTTTTATTTGATAAAGAGAGGCTACACTTACATATTGTTTTCTAAAATTATAAACACATCAAACTAAGCTTGAAAAGCATATTTGTTAAGTACAAAATCATCCATAACTAATTTAACAAACAATAGCATAACATAAAGTTTCTCCTAATTATTTCAAACCTCTAAGAACTTAAAGGTTACCCTAAACCATTTGTTTCTCGAGTTTGCAATGAGCTCAAACAACACGTGACAAGACTAATCTATAATCAACAATAACCATTATCACTAATTATCAACTTAAATACTATATACAACTTTCAAACTCCACACTTTTATAACTTTAACTTCCTAGTCACAAACTCAACTTCACAACTAATGAGTTTATTAACTTTCATTAATTTTATTTAACTCTCATTAGCTTAAATAACAACTAATACATCATCCAATAACCCATAATTTCTCTTAAAGTGGCTAGCGTTTTTCCAAAACTTTAAACCCAAATCATAACCTTATAAAATTTTCAAAACTAGGTTTAGATAGGTTAAATATCTCCCATCAGTCCCTTTAGGGCTATTGGGTTCGAATCCATGACCCTCAAGATCCAAAATCAATATCTCCATAGAGAAACCCAAGCTGAAAACATGCGGAAGAAAAGAAGGAAATGAAGGAAGATGTTTACCTTAAGTGTGGAAGCTTAAGTCTCTCTAGATTGACCTTAAAAGTATGCCCTAGCAAACCAAAACTCAATCTCCTATTGCCCTTTTCTATTTTCACTCTTTCTTTCTTTCTTTCTTCTGTAGTTCGTGAATCGTAAATTAATCACTTAAATTTAAACCATTTATATAGGCCAATTCAAATTACTCCTTAAATCTAGGCCCACGTGGCCCAAATCATCTCAAAGCTTGATTATAATTATTCCAAATCTCTCTCCTCTTAAAAAGATAATATCATAAAAGCATGATTAATGAAATTTTAATTTTACCAAATTGTATTATATTTTAGAATAATAAAATACCTCTAAAGTTATCTTATAATTTAGGACAGATGTAATAAAAAAATAGATAAATTTTTTTAATTTTAAGATATATAGAAAAACTAGAATATAAAAAATCTAATAAAACCCAATATAATATTTGACTGAAAAAATAATAATAATAATGTTATAAAAAATGATAATGAATGATGATGATGATAATAATATCAGACTTCAATGGCGGGTGCGAACTGCGATGGCCAGATTGAAGGTGAAATATCAGGGTTTAGGGTTTTAACTTCGTTAGACTGTCCCTTGGCCCGTAGGTCCTGGTGCAAGGTTAGCTTTGCGTTCTTCCAATTTTGTGAAGGGAGATGAGAGGGTTACAGCTACCGTTGAGCCAAACTCAGAAGGTTCGATTGCAGAAAGCTCTGCAACAGCTCGAGTCTCTATCTTCCAAGGTCAATTCTGATGCTTCTGTCACCATAGCTGATTCCATATCGGTTAACCACGAAGATGGCTTTCTCAAGTATCTTCTTTGTCCTCTCAATTGGGCTTTCACAGATTTTTTCTTTGATGTAACAATGCTATACATTTGCCTTCGAAGACATTCGATGTACGTTTATGTCTGTTTCTTCTTCTGTACTCCAGGGGACATGGTACCACTGACCTCAAAGGCGAAGTTGTTGCCACTGTATGCGGCGTGGTCGAGCGCGTTAACAAGCTTGTGTATGTCCGCGCATTACGCTCCAGGTATGTTCAATTTTATTGGGGACGTAGAATTTGCATTAACAAAAGATGTTATTGTATTCCTTTTTTCCCCTTTGGATGATGGAATTAAATGTTCATAGGTACAAACCTGAGGTTGGAGACATTGTGGTAGGGCGTGTTATTGAGGTACAGAAATTACTCTTTTCTATTGTGGACTACTCCTTCAGTTTTGTTTAAAGTTAAATCCTTTGTGTTTGATATGAATTTGAGGTATACTTGTTGACGAGGGAGGCTTTTTGACCATGTGAAACATTGTGTGACATTTGAAAGTTAGTAATGACAGTGAAAGTGCTCGAGAGGTTATGATTATGCTGATCTATTTTGACATAATTCCTATTTAAGCTAAGACAGTAGGCTGGTTCAACACAATTGTGGTTAGAATCTGTAATTTGTGAGACTTCCACAATTTTATCAGAAAGCACTTCTTGTTTTCTTTTGGCTTCTTCTTCATTAATTTTTGTGTAGGTTTCCCAAAAGCGTTGGAAATTGGAGATAAATTACAGTCAAGATGCCACTTTGATGCTTTCTTCTATGAATTTGCCTGATGGCATCCAGGTACTTCATAACTTCCTTTTGGAATCTCTTGTAATTCTTTATCAGAAAAATATTTGTAAGTTTATGAAATGTAAATACTTAAGTAGAAAATATGTAAAATTTGAAAGAGACCTCAGTCAGACTATTGTGTACTCTTCTAGAGACGACGGACTGCTCTGGATGAACTCAACATGCGTAGTATTTTTGAAGAGAATGATGTTGTTTGTGTAAGTAAAATTATATCTTACACAATTTAATTTTTTTTGAATCGGATGAAAAGACAACAATTTATTTTATGTTATATTTTTGCCTTAGGCTGAAGTTCGTGGTTTCCAGCATGATGGTTTACACCTTCAAGCAAGAAGTCAGAAATATGGGAAAGTATGTAGTTTTTGATTTTATTTTGAACATTAAAGACAGAAATGTATACCTGTTTGGTTTGATTTTTGTTGCCTCTGGAAAAAGAAAAACAAAAGAAATAATCAATTTGAGGAAGTAGGAAACATTGAGTTGTGGAAATGCTTTGTGATTCATGCTCTGTTGCTTGTAGAAATAAAAACACGTTTCTTCAAAGGGCCTGTTTATACCTCAAGTGTATGAAAACAACCTGTCACAAAACTAAACAAAAACACGGGGGTGTAAGTACATGTTGTTCACAGTCATATAACAATGCACCTTATGTTCTTATTGCTGGAAATTTGTTGAGTTTGCGTTTTGAAGCATCACTCCATGACTTATCACGGCTTTTCATTGCATGTCAGCTTAAGAGAGGTCAACTGCTTACTGTCACTCCTTACTTAGTGAAGAAGCAGAAGCAGCATATCCATCATATAGAGCAGTATGGCATTGATTTGATACTTGGTTGTAATGGATTCATATGGGTGGGGGAACACGTTGAAGCCAAAGACGATATGATAGACGATCAAGCGAACCAATCTGAAGGGCAGGAGCAAAATTTTACGGCATTAGAGACAAGAAAATACATATGCAGGACTGCTAATGCTGTTAGAGTATTATCCAATTTGGGGTTCAATATGACTTTGGAAATTATCAAGGAAACGGTTAATCTCAGCCTTTCTTTGAATCTTGATATGCATGAAATGCTGGGTTATGAGTTCTGTGTTCTGGTTGCTGAAAAAGAGGCTGAAAGGAGAAGCTCAATTAAAAAGAAGCGATAGATTGTGGCCTTATTTTATCTGGGAATTTTGTAGCTGTGTGTGTGACTTTTTGGGTGAGATTTTTTATTCATAGGGAACATTTGGTTACATCCATTTCCTATGGTGGCAAGTTTCAGGTTAGGAATTCTAACCCTAGTGTTTGGATATAATCATATCATATAGAGAGATGGTAGACATGGTTGGATATGAGAATTTTACCATTTGTTTGCTACACAATTTTTACGGTCCCAATATATATATATATATATATATATTTGGTGCAATTGTGTCAATACTTTGGTTTGATTCCAGCAAATGTTGAACGAGTGACCAATTACTTTTTTTATCCTTAAAAGTCGGTCCATGATGGTGCCATATAATTTTTGAGAAAAATTCAAAATTATATGGAATCTCATTGAAGTTTGAATTATAGGTTCATTATAATTTTGATGCGTACATGTAAAAATGTATCACCCTCCTTACTAAATATCCAAAAAAGTATAGTTGATATTATATAAATCAAAATTAACATTTGAAAATTGCATGATCATATGATTAATCATAATTTTGGTGCATAAATATGAAAAATGAATGCTATACTTGGTGAATATTCATAATTATTGTGCAGCACTGTTTATAACTTATATAATTTATTATAACTTTTATATTGATGATTCATTAACTAAACAATATTATATCAATTAAAGTTAACATTTAAAATTGAAAAAATTACATTCGGTCTCGCATAAGAGAATTTATTATTAAAAAATTTTATAAAATTCACAAATAAAATATTAAATCTTTCGAATTTACAACTTGACTAAGGGTATAAATGTTTATTGTTTAATTGTAAATGCCTTTAGTGAAATTATAAATGCACAATATTTGGGATTTGGAATAATTTCATGAATTTTATAAAATCTTTTGGTAATAAATTCTCTTATATAATAATGTTTGGGTGTAATTTTCCCTTTAAAATTTGCATGAGTATTGATTTATGAAATAAAATTTCAGATATTAATTTTAACTGAGGTTTTTTTTGTTGAGTAGAAAAATTATTTTCCTAATAATAATGTCAAAGGAATGTGGTGGCCAAAAAAATGTCAGAGGATTAAATGTAAAATTTCAAAAATTTGTCGATGGAGCCAAGCTTCCTTATTTGTTCCCAAGACCACCAAATGATACTGTTGAGTTTGCACAAAATTCTAATTTAAATTTTCTGCAATCATGAATTTAGAGAGTGACACAAAAAAAAAACATATTTCCTGTAATTTAAAATATAATCTTTTTTTTCTTAACTAATCTTGATTTAAAATATAAGTAACTTAGTATTTTTTTTAAAAAAAAGGTAAAGGTGTAAATTTGGCCATATACTATATTTTGAGGAGTATCTGGTAGCTTAAGCTATCAGATGGTACAAAGAAATCATGAATTTTAAAAAATAGAACATTTAGTAGCTTGCCATTAACTTCAACTGGTGGACGTTATGTGAGACCCATAATGACAAATGGCACGACACAAGCACAACACATCAGCATGGTAAAGGTGTAAATTTAGCCACAAATTATTTTTCGAAGAGCACTGGTTAGCATCTACTATAAAAAAATGACCATCTAACACCTTCCCCTCAATTTGACCAAAATACCTTCATTTTTATACTTATAAGGCCCAAAATGCATTAATCTCTCCAGTCTTCTTACTTTCATTTTCAATCTCATCTTTAAAAAAAGAGGTTCAAAGAGTTCTTATCTGAAAACATTCACAAAGACAACGCTAACAAAGTAGAAAAAATAATTCATGATTAAATTAAATTAGAATCAAGACTCTCATGTATAATAAAATCAAGCTTCTATTTCATTAGCATCATTTTTATGAATGTCTTCAGATGAAAACTCTTTAAACCTCTTCTTCTTGAATTGATACTAAGAATCAAGGCAAGGAAATTAGAGAGATTACTGCTTTGTGGGCCTTATAAGTATGAAAATAAATGGTATTTGGTCAAAATTGAGGAAAAGATGTTGGATGATCTGTTTTATACTTTTATTATAATAGAGGCTACCCAGTGTTTTTTGAAAAATAATTCGTGGCTAAATTTGCACATTTATCATGTTGAAGTGTTGTGCTTGTATCAAGCCACGTGTCATTATGGGCCCCGCATAACGTCCGTCAGTTGAAGTTAACAGTAGGCTATTAGATGCTCCATGTTTAAAGTTCATGATTTATTTTGTATCATCTGATAGTTTAAACGACTAGATGCTTCTCAAAAAATATTACATGACTAAATTTGCTACTTTACCTTTTTAAAAATTCTATTTTACCCCTTTAATTTAGATTATTATGCCTGTAAGTTCTTTTCATTCATCATAAATTGAAATTAATGGTAAAAAAATATTTTTATAATAATAAGAATTTTATTGATATGTGAATTATTGTTTAAAATTACTTATATTTTGGATCAAAAGGAGTAATTAAGTATATTTTTTAAAATTTTAAACTTTCTTTTAATATACTATAAACAAGTTTTACAAATAAGATTAGAAGTAATATTCTATAAAATATTATTTTTAAAAGATAAATTTATAAAATGAGTTTTAAATATTTTTTATTTTTTATTATTACATTGCATTTTATTAGAAAATAAAAATTGGAAAGCAAGAAGGTTAGATGTTACCTTCTTTTCAATTTAGCAAAAATATTATTATTGGTATTCAAAAAAAAAACAGAGAGAAAAATAATAAATGGTTTACTATTTAAAAAATAAGAATAAAATATTTATGAAGTGTGATATTTATACAATGTAATAATGTATATAATTATTTTAAAATTTACAATTCTTGCACATTTCTCCACCAGGTTATCTTTCTCATTTTCGGTGCTTATAATGTGTGAATGCATAAAATATAGTTTTTCTGGGCTTTTTGCCCCTTCAGACTAGTTCCTAGTTTTACCTCCATTGTTGGACTGGATGCTAGACCTATTCCCGGTCCAACCATTTAAGCCAATCATTCCCGTTCAATTTTATTATTGTAAAAGATCTGTATTGCACAAATTAGTTCCAATTGTTAGTACAAAGTTATTATTGAACCCTGCCAAGTGTCTACAATGCGTTTAAAAAATGGTTATACTAAATAATATCAAGATCAGCCACCCAAATCCGAATAAAGGATATATAGACACTTTGATGAATTGGATATGTACCCTCTCAGCATCTCCCAACGCAGAAATACTGGCCATTCAATCCATAGTCACGTCATCTTATGTTAAAATAATTTAATTTTAAAAAAATAATTCTTTCACAATTTATTTCATCACTTTAGATATATTTTTATACTAATGATTTAAAATGATTTTTTATTTTTTATTTTCAAAATTTATTCATTACCATTCAAATTTTTTAAAGTAGATTTTATTAAATTAGTTAGACCAAAGTTTAAATAAGCTAGACAATAAACCCCTATAAATAGTCTGAACAATCTTAAAAGCTTGCAAATCTACAATCTGGCTTATTCAAACTTTGACTTAACTTATTTTTTTTTTAAAAAAATCTGTTTAAAACACATCTGCAGAGTAATTTTTCTAAAATAAGTTTTGCAAATAAAAAAATCATTTTGAATCATTACTATAAAAATATATTTAAAATGGTCAAATAAATTGTGAAAGAATTATTTTTAAAAATTAAATTATTTTAACTTGAGATGATGTGACAAGATATGAGATATTAGATAGATTCAATAGCTAAAATTTTCTGGCGCTGAGGGACATTGAAAGGATAACTTCTGAGAGGATCCGAATCTTGATGAATTAGGTGCTAATAAACATTGACCAAATCATCAACAAAATTCAGTGGCAAACGACATAAACATTGATAAATTAGGTGCTAATAAACACTTGTTACAACATCATCATCATCCAATTTCTGCTCGTCTTATTTTATTTCAAGCATGTGATTCCAATTCAGGGACATTTTCCTGAAGCTTGCAGATCATATGTACCACAACACACTTCGAAATATTATGAGAAGAGACATAAATGCAGGATAAATTTAAGAGATAAAGAAGAAAAGATCCAGTCCTCACAGGTAACCAGCCTCACTTGTCTTCTAGTGAACCATTCTCTCCTTTATCTATTCTAAATCGACTCCATTTAATATCTATATCAACTTAGTTTCTTAAGTTTAATCTTTATCAATCATGCTTTTTAAAGTTTTAGAATTATACATAATTAATCCTTATGGTATTATTTCCCCTTCAAAGCATATGGACTAATTGCGTATGGCTATAAAACTATGAAGACATGATTGATAAAGATTAAATTTTAAAGATCAAATTAATAACTTAGAGAAACTTAAGGGATCGGAAGTTTCATTATCTCTATATTTATTTAAACATAGAGAAAAATCTTTCCTAATATCCATATATTGATATACTACATAAAATTAATAAGTCACATTATTTATAAGCCATTACTAATATAGCTTACCTAACTCCCTAAATGACCAGGAAAACTTATTTAGTTACTTCTTTATACATAAATGTACTATCATGTGAACCCTACACATGCAATAGAGGAACACGATTAGCTCTGTACAAATGGACACAATGCATGTCTACCATATGTGCCGAATTTTGTGCCATTCTATTTGGGGTTGCATTCCAGGAACCTTATGTGTAGGGCCATGAATTTTCCAGCCATGAGGATGAAGATGATGAGGATGTATGAACTTGTTATAGACTAGGGCAATGGCGATTCCTAGTCCAAGGATCAACAAAACCATATATAGTGATAGAGAAGCTTTATGAACCTGCAATGAATAAATTTATTTGTGAGTTCACATTTTGAATGTTTAGGCTTAGTTTCACTCTCATTAAGAAAGAAAATTAGTCCCTCTAGTATCATGAATCTGTCCTCTAATTCAGCTACATCACTATTGTACTTGAAGTATTTGAAAAAGGAAAAAAAGTAATTGACAAAAAGATAAAATTATTCTTTTGGCTTCATGGAATTGAGCTATTAAATAATATATTATTTATCCCTTTAAGTCAGCAAATTAGCACTAGATGGGTTAAACTTTTTCTGATGATAATATTAGAGGGACTAAATTGGGTTTTGTTGCATCAAGTGCAGTAAGGCCATTCTTTTATTAGTAAAGAGTGCGCTAAATATCTCCTTAAGTTGTTAGAGTATTTGAAAAAGAAGGTATGATGTATGAAAAAGAAAAAAAAAAAACAAACAAATATCCCAGAATAACTAGAGGGTGAGAAAGACCGCATAGAAATCCAAGACACTTGGAATTCTCTAAGCATGGTGAATAATAATAAGCAAAAAATGCATTGAATCTCCCTCGATTTCTAGTAACGAAGTGAAAAATGAATAGAATCTCCCTCGCATATTTTTTTTGGCCTGGAATCTCCTTCAAAAGGATTAGGCCATTAATTGATTCTTCAGTGGAATAATTGCTAGATTGGAACCAATATCTCCAAAATTGATTATTGTCTCAAAAATGAAAGGGCTTAGTCACCTCACTGGAAAGGTCAATTTATTTATTTATTTCCAGAAAAAAGGTCTATATATCAAACTCCAATATTGGAAGACGATTATATGGTCAAGTACTTTTTTTAACAAAAAAAAAAAAGACATCAAATTTATGTTATAATCATCGAAATATTTTGGAAAAAGTCACAAACCTTATCCATGACCCTCATTTTTGGAGGATAATTTCTGTCAGCGTGCTCAAGAGTATAACGCAACATTTTAATTGTCGTAAACTCAGTCACACGATCATCACATTCTGCAAGAATAATAAGCAATTGTTAACATTTTACATTAACATGAAAGAATACTGAAATGAATGAAAACTTGAAAGTCTACCTGGGATATCAAAAATTTGTGCTGGCGGAATTCCCAACAGCTCTACCAAACGTGCACGAACGCGAGCACGATCAGATAGCGAAAGAAGATCCCCATGCGTGACCACAAGGACCGGTTTGTCATCTGGAAGTATTAGAGAAGATTAATTGACCGTACAATTTTAAATTAGTTGAAGGCGAAATATGATGAAAAGCAGAGAGATGTGTAAACACTAGTCAACGAGGAGAAAAACTAAATGCCTGAGAAGTAATCAAACTTGCAGAATATATATAAAAGTTTAAATTATGAAAAGACATTGTCATTTACAGATGCAATGTCAAATCTCCATACAAATTTTTAGCAGTGAAAACTGCGAAATAAGTGATTCTTCCAGATCTGTTCCAGCCAATTATATACAAGAAACAAAAAAGAAGCAAATGTCTCAGACCAAGATGATATGATGAAACGGCACAAAAGAAAAACAAAACCAATGCAAAACTTCCATGTGCCAGGTGCTATATATTAATAATTTAGCATTTCAACTATTAAAGTTTAACACATCAACATGCTCATGGTTCATTATATATCTAAGGTTCTTAGATGTTAAAATAGATTAGTAGAAGCAAACCTCAATATGCATGTAGGCCCTTTAAATATTTGTTCCAATACACATGAAAAAGAAATATAAACAGTAACAGGAAGCATATGCAGGAAAAAAATACATCATAGTCACAGATACCTTGAAATGAGAGGTATGAGCAATTGAAGGAAGAAACGACCATATCAGTATATCCTCTATCCAAGGCACCAGTAGTCTCCAGTGATTTCAAAACTGAAAGGCCGTTAACAACATATATAACATAGTTAATTTTCATCCTCTTACTGAAAAAGCAACCAGTCTTGCGAGCCCTATGCTTTAAAAGTTCCTTCAAACCCTGATCATCAGTGCTCCTGATAAGAAATTACCATTAGATGAATTGAATATAAACAGAGAAGTTATTTAAAAAGACTGCGTAAATTTCAGTATTCATACCTGAGAACAAGCTCTCCATGACGAACACCTTCTGTCATCCATTGATATAGAATTCTATCATCATCATTTGGATCACCAGATAAACAACGTGTATCATACAAACAGATAGAAGTTGAGTCTCTTGGAATCATATACTCCTGGAGGAAGTACGTCCCATCTCCTGTAGATGAATTATCTGGCATCAAAAGATAAATTAACAAGACATTATTCAGGAAAATCACTATCCATTTGTCCCGAGTCAAAAATATCCTCAAATTGCATCTTCAACAATCAAATTTAAATTTAAATAACACATTAAAAATCATACATGATACTTGTGCTCTTGCTGGTGCACATTTGTCATCTTCAAATACTCTAGAGATTCTATTTATGAGACTACTTTTGCCTGACCCTCTTGGACCAATCAATATGAGGCATGTTGTCTTTGGTATATCATAATCACTTAATTTCAACCCACCCACATTCTCTGTCCATGCTCCTGGGCTATAGCTGTAACAATTAAACCAGAATATACAGCATAATCAGTAAGAAAACTTCGAGATTTCATGTCATTATTATTTTAACATCCCTTTAAACTGTACTTGTCATATTTTTTAAAGTAATGCAGAAATTTGAAATTAGTCTTAATTTCACCGTACAATATAAATCATTGAATAAAAGGGAATAAAAGTAAAGCATTTTAGCTTGGTGAGCCATATATGAAGAGAGGCATGGATGCCTAACATAATTCGAAGCACATGGAGCTGCATATTTTAAATGACAGATATTCTAAAATAATAATGATACCCATACTGAACAAGCAAATGTGCAAATACACGATGAATTAGCTGTTTAGTATGCTTAATGGTACACTATGCAAATATTTGACCTGATGTTGATTCCTGTGACTATGGTCTTACATTCATTTGCCAAGAATATATGTTACAGCATTGCAAGAAACAAAAATGAATGCCACTCCCATGATGCTGACTTGTCAATGCTTATATTTTCCCCCTCAGACCAGAGTAAGATTTTCCAAAGTTCTCATAATAAACTTCAATGGGTGAACTATTATATTTCTTGAAATAGTAAACAATTTGGGTATCTTCTCGCAATATTAAAACAACATGAATACAACAGATAAAGCATGAGAAACTTGAGTTCAAATCAATACCTCAAAATTTTTTCTCTTTCCTCTTTCAAATTCTTGCAATGAATTCTCAATTCATCATAATTCTGCAAGATTTCTTGGTAGATGCGATGTTTCCTGTTGATATTGACTTCAAAATCAAAAGAAGAAAAAGAAGGCCCACTCTTTCTTTCCCTGGTTTCTACTTGTGCCAACCCATTTTCCCCACTCACTATATCATCTTCAACCTTCACGCTCAAATTATCCCTAAAACACAAGAAGATAACATAAAAGGGACATAGTTGAAAAAAAGGATCGACATCAACCTTAAACCATTAATGCAGTGCGCCTACTATTATTCCATACCCATTTTCATAAATATGCTGCTCTAGGAGAAACTTTCAATTCTCTCCTCAAATCCCCAAATGACAGTGAAAAAGGGGGACACCATCCTATCTTCTACCTCACAAATAAAAAAGCGCCAATACTTAATCATTACATATTTTGCCCCCTATAACCATATACTGTCGTATTGTATCTATGCCATTATCACTGCTTGGCTCACAACTAAAGAGGAGTTTGATAATTCATGGTTGAAACAAGAACATGAGCATCTGATCAGAGTGTACCTTGGAAGATTAGGAGAATTGGAAGAAAACCATGAAAATTCCACATCTGAACAAGAATCTTCACCTGTACACAATCAGCAAGGATATAGACAACGAGCGCACAACAAGAAGCTCATATATTTTGCATCAACCTGAACATAGATAAAGAGTGAGGAGGAAATATACAAAACACTTAATGAGATTCGTTTCCGTTTTGCATTATCTTATGAAAAAATCGAACAGAAACTAGATGGAAAAATTGTAAACGAGTCTCTGATACACCTCACTTTCCGAGAATCAGAACATAACATTTAGAGACCCAGGAACGCTACCTTGAGAGGAAACTGAATCGCCTCCCATGGTGTGCTTGATTTGCTCAATGATGCCTTCGCTTCCTATAGAGCTAAGAGTATTTTTCTAGGTTCTAAACTGCCTCGATCAAGGAAAGTCAAGGAGGAATCTTCGCGGTTAAGAAAATGGATTTCAAATCAACGGAAATAGCCATGATTACGTATTGAACTCAACTATAGTTTGTGATGCGTGAACACACACACACACACACACACACACACAGAGATGGTGGCGTGTTGAAAACCTGATAAAGACTTTTTTTTTTTCTTTTTTAAATAATCCGGTTCAAGATAATATGAACACTTTTTTGTAATAAAAATTTTAATAGTCAGATATATTTGTCAAAAAAAAAAAAAATCCAATGTGGTTGCCCAGGCTGTGTGGTATAAGTAGTAAGTATTCTATATAGCATTTTCTGCTATTTTGTTGCAATTGTACAATTCAGTCAATACCATTATCTCAGCTAACTAGGTGTGTTACCCGGATAATTACTGTGAAGTTTTAAAAAATTAAATTAATACTCCTTCGAATTACAATCCAAGTTATTGTTAACTAATTTAAAAAAATTAGCTAAAAATAAAAATCTAAATTTTTCAAAAATTTTCACATATTTTCAATTATGCCTTTGAATATAATAAATGTAACATTTAATTTATTTAAAATATCATTATTAATTACTCAATAAAGTAAGAGTATAATATGAAAAAAAAAAATATATATATATATATATATAATATATATATATATTCAATGTCCTATATCTTAGATTAAGTAAAGCTTTAAAAAAGGAATTTATATTGTGGCCTAGAGGTAGTAATTGTTAAGTCATGATAAACAAAATTTTTGAAAAAAATAAGTTGAAATATTTATTCATACATCTGCAAAATAATAATTTTAACTGCAAATTGAAAGTTACATTTAAAATGTAAATATCTTATTTATAATTAGAACCTTAAATTTATAATTATTTAGATTGACATTTGTAACTTATTTTTTCATTAATTCTTTTTTTTTAAATTGTCATTAAGTTTATTTGTTGGAGCTTAAATCTCATTCAAAACTTTTTTTTTTCTTTTGCCCAAAGCCAGCCCTTTTACTCTTTTGCATTTCCTTTTGTTTTTTGTTTTTTGTTTTTTTTGTGGGGATTGAATTAACAGGGCAACTAGTTCACCCACTAACACAAACTTGGACATTTCCAGTTCCAAAGGTGGGATCAAACCCAGTAACCCACATGCTCCCCTTCCTTGGAGGAGATAGTGCAATTTGATCTACTGGGTCGGCTTTCACTTTTTAAAATTTTATGGTGAGGAATGATAATTGTTTTTTGAGAATAATAAAAATTATCAAAAAAACTAATGACCATGACACATCAGACATGTTGAAAAAGAGGGCTGGTGGCCAAGAATTTCTTGGTCCAATGTTGCCTAACAGATCCTTGAAATAAGAAGGTTGTGGGTTTTATCCCCATATTAAGGGATTAGCATGTGTGTAACTCTTTTCTCAGAAGCAAGGGTCACTTTCATCTATGAAACAAGGGATAGGTATGTTGGTGCGTGCGTGGAATATGTTTGTATTTGATCCATTCAAAAAAAAAAAACAAAGAGAGCGAGGGGGGGTTAGAGAAGAAAATATGAAAATGAAATGAAAGTTCAAGAGGATTTATTTATTGATGGAACTTCCATTCATCTTCTAATTTAAACTAAGAAAAATATTAATTTATTATCAAATTTTAAAATTTTAAAATTGTTCCAAATGTTATTACTTAATACGGTATGTATCCAATTCAACTTTTTCTTGTTTATACCTCCCACCCCCATCATTAATTTAATAATTTTATACACAATCATTCTCAAATAAAAAAAATTATTTTCCAGTTAAAATTGATTTAATTGATAAATATGCAATTTATATCTCAGAAGATTTTTCTTGCAATAAGATGCTAGGCCAATTCTCGATCTAGTTCAGTTTTTGGAACCTTGCTATAATTACTTCTTAAATCCTCATGATCTAACTCACCTAAAATTTGTTATGCAAAAAAATGTGCATTCATAGAAAAAAGGGGGGGGGGGGTTTAACTTTTCTATTATTGGGAATGCTTTTATTATTATACCTACTCATTCCAAGTGTTGATACAACACAATGACACAGCGGTTGCCAAAACAAGTATTGAATATTGATGAATGATGCCTGCAGTCAGCACTTTGGCATAACAACTTAACCACATTCCCTGATTCTTCACGCCAGTGATCTCATCATGCAGCAACAGTCAAAGATTTATGCAAACCAGCAGCATAATTTCTCGCCCACTCATCATAATGAATGATTTCCTCAAGGGAAGGTGATGCTACTAATTCTTTTTGGTGCTCCTCACATGTTAGCTCCACAATCTTGAAAATATCCACATAGCTAATCCTGTTAACATAAAAGGACTAAATGTTTACCGTGGAGGTTAACAATACCGACAGAGTGAATTGAGATAAGATAATTACAAGTGTTCTCATCACTCTGTAAGGATTGTGCTTAAAAAATGACCTAAATTCCCTGAATCAAATGCCTTTTATGAAAGTTGGCCAAAAAATTGTCTTTTATGGGAAAAATGAGTTAGATACCCTTAAAATCTTATATTGTCTTCTCGTAGAAGAGTAAGGATATTTGGATTCAATCACATTAATGCATCATACAGAGATTGCTAATTTCCATTAAACTAGTGTGGATATTAGCATTTCCATAAATTTCCACTAAACTAGCGTGGATATTGCTAATATTATACAGAGATTTGATTGTTGATAAAATACAATGATATCGTACAATCCATGTAACCGATCCTACCTAGTGAAATGAGGCTTCTTGTTGTTTTTGTTTTGTGTGTTTTCCTTTAGCATACATGAGGGAGCGTAGCTGGGTCCATTCACCCAATACAGAGATTGTAAGGTTTCCCTAACTAGCATGTCATCAGAGTTCTCTTGCACATATAAATGACAGCTATTTGATTCTAGGGTAATTGTCGTCTAGTTTTTCCAAAATTTGGTATGTAAGATAAACATAGAGATGACTTTTAATTCAACAGATAGATCATTAGATCCTATGAGAAAAAAAGTTAATTATTCAATCCAGATATGCGTGCTTGCATATATGCAAGGAAAATGCACGCACCCACATGCACCAAGACGTATGCAACAGTACTTACTTTTCATCAACAAACAACTCCACAGCTTTCTCGTTTGCTGCACTGAGAATTCCTGTCATGGTGCCTCCAGCACGTCCAGCGGCATAGCAGAGTCTCAAGGATGGGAATTTAACAGGGTCTGAAGTTTGGAATGTTAGTGAAGCAAGCCTGCAGGATCACATTTCAGATATTGCCATGTCAAAAAACCTAACAACAAATTGCTCAGTGTGCCAATTTGGATTGAATCAAAGTTTTCACTTTCATGATGGACTTCATGATTCACTATGTCTTTTAGTGGATGGAAGATATTTTTATGTGGAATTTTTAATAGTCACAATGAAACATGAAGCTGGGCAAGAAGCCAGAGTGGAAATGAAAAGGGAATTATCTGATTATTTGTAGTGAATATTGATAACTCAATTTTGACTTCCTCTAAAACTCCTTTTAATTAAAAGAAATGAAGCACCATGGGATGAACAATGAAAGCTGAAGGTGATTATGACATATGAACGTGGATCCTTGAATCCTCTGAGGTGAGTGAATACATGAGAATATCTGAATGAGGATAGAAATAGAATATAAAATGTAAAAGAAACTTGCACACTGTTAGGTCCCCCACTCGAGTATAACTCACACTAGATCTATATCGTCATTTTATCTTCTCATATGAAATGATCAAAATCCGTTATTTATCCCTTTTGTTTTAGGTTAACCACGCCATGTTTGAACAAAAGAAAGTTCGATTAATTGAAATGCATGAGCTAAAAGGGAAAATGATTAGTACTCAGCAAGATCAAGGCGAGGCCAAGTGAGTTCAGAGCAATAAATTCTATCTGGCCAGGACAATGTATAGAGGAGTGGAATGCGCATGTCAGGCACTCCTAGTTGTGCAATAACGGATGAATCCTGGAAATAACAAATAAATTAATATAAGAAAAACATTTTTTTTTGAATCAAAAATTAATATAAGAAAAAGATAAAGCAACTGTTTTCACCATATATCTCCGTGTTCCGATTACTATTTTTTTTTTTTCATGTTAGCATATTTCAATTTGAACTACACATGCTCACCACATCCATTTGCCAATTTAAATTAGAATAACTTGTACTATACTATCATTCAGCAAATTTATGTGAATTTTAACCGTATGAAGCCATTTGATTCTTCACCTTTGATATCAAGAGACATCAAATTTAACTTAAGAGGCATAAAATCCCAGAATAGTGCACAAAATATCATAAGAATCCCATATCCCTGAGTTTTTAGCACTACTTAGTTTTGCATAATACCAATTGTATCATGGTTTTTGTAACTTTACTTTCTCATAATGAAAATGAAAATCTTAAATACAATGATATGTTAACTATGGCATCCAAGATGAGGACATCATTGTTTTGATAATAAATGAGTCTTTCATGAATATTTCAAATATTAGTGTAAGGGTAAAACCTAAGTTTCAATCAGAGAATGTATGATAGATTGGGGATGAATGAGGATCTCAATATCATCATATCCAAGTCCAAACAAGTAGTGTGCTTCAATTACTTCAAGACCCTGCCAAGAAGTAGAAGAGATTTAAATGTAATTATTAGATAGATTCATAGGAAATCAGGTTTCATAAAATTATGAACATCAGACGGGAACTAACCTTATTGAATTGGCTAGCAGAATCAATAGTAATCTTTCTTCCCAACGTCCAGATGGGATGCTTCAATGCATCAGCAACTTTGATTTCTTTCATTTTCTCAACAGGCCAATTTCTGTCACTTGCCATTCGGATTATGATTTATGAATAACAAAATTCAAATTCATTTCATAGAACCTAGAAACTGCACCAAGATGGGGAGAATCTCAACCCTTTTCTTGATAAATTTTTTATGATCAATCACAATAGGTAATATGTTTATTTCCATCACGGACCAATTGAATCTGAAAGTTATTAAGTGAAGGGTTATAAATAGTTTATAATCTTCAAAGAATTTATACAGATAGCAGTTTGAGTTTAACTGCCAAAGTCGATGATTTTAGCATGCTATAATAGTTTCATCTGAGGGGAAAATCATTATATTTCCTCACCTGAAAGCACCTCCAGATCCAGTTAAAATGATTCGCCTAAGTGCCCCTTCTGGCAACCCCTGGATGCACTGTGAATAGAAGACTTTAAGCATAAGTTATAAAGCAAAAGAAAATGAAACGGGAAGCTAAAGAAATTGATTTTGTGCAATGAAAATATATGGGAAGTGCAATATGAGTAATCAATGAGATTGAGTTTGTTGCACATGCATAGTTATTTTCTATAAATAGGAATGCAGAACCTTGGCACTTCGAAGAGAGATACGCTAGGTGTGGACATCTCTAGACTGTCTTTATCAGATTTGGACAGTCTAGACCTTAATATTCCTTTTTTTAATTTAAATAATCATTTCTAAAGGCATCAAGTAGGGAAAAAAAAATTAAAATATGAGTAATCTAAATCAGATCTAGAAGGCACATAAGAGATGTGCTCACTCACTCAACACCTGTAGAGGATCCAAGATATATAAATACATAATGTGGTATCATACCTGAAAAATGGCAGAATGTTCTGAATCAGCGGGAAGAATTTTTATGTTATGCTTGTGAGCAAGAGGAAGAATAAAAGGCCCTCCAGCAATCATTGTCTCTTTGTTGGCCAAAGCAATGTCCTTCCCTGCTTCTATTGCAGCAACTGTTGGCTAACAAAATGACAAGGAATATCAGTTTCATTATGTAACCTTAGCTTAATGCCTTTTCTCACCAGCAATCAATTTTTGTTCACTGTTGTAACGAAGTATAAGGGGCAAAATAGTAAAAGAGGCCCATTGAAAGAAATTGACTAGTTTCATTCAGAAGGACAATGATCAATACATGCATTCTTGTTACACTTCAATTGTTGCTTCTGTTATTCTCTTCTCCAAAGCTTGATTTTTAAACATTAGTGTTCTATAAAGAATAACACCAACAAACTTTTAAAGCTTCAACGGAAAATTCTTCACTTGGAAAATAAATTCATGCCCAAAAACTAAAATAAGTACATCCACACTAAGGGCTAATGAGCTTTCACTTTACTTTATCATCAAAATAATTATGAAAAGAGATGTAGATAATGTCAAAAACCAATTCAACTCAAAAGCTTAAGCTATAAGTGAAGACTTGCAAATATTATACACATGCGTACTCACATGAAAGCCCAGTAGGATTGATGAGCATGCAAGGCACAAGCTAACAATATGTTGCAATAAAACTTAATTAAGTGAATAGGAGGTGACAAGATTGGAATCTAAGCCACTTGATAAAAATCTGATACATATCAGGGACTTAATCAACTTAAAAGCTTAAACTATTAAGTGAACTTCCATGAATAGTTTTAATATAACTTCAACTCATGCGTACTGAACCTCAATATCATATATCTGAAATGGGAATGGCCAAGTCCATATACATATAGTATAGAAAATAAATTCGCAAATTTAAAAATGGTAAAAACAGAAGTGAAGGTAGTCCTGCACAACCTACTATTCCTGTGACTACAGTGGCTGCATCAGGATGACGAGCAGCCTGCCAATATAAAACTTCCCATATAACTTATGTTACTCTCCACAAACCAAATTATGTGGAACAGGTTCAGATGCACACCTCAATGACTCCTTCCTCTCCAGGGATGATCTCAGGTTTGTGGTCACAATCAGACAAAGCCTCATTGAGTTCTTCAATGAGGGCCTCATTTCCAAGACCAACAAGTTGAGGCCTAAACTTCTTAATCTGTCCAATATCAACAGAACAAAACATTTTCTTTTTAGAGATCAAATATTACCCAAAATTATAAACATACTATGCACTTTTGTTTTGAAAATTGAAGTCTTTTCTTTCTTATCCAGTATTTATCTTCATGTACTATCTATTTATGAACGAAAATGCCATTGAACCTCTCTTTTGACAATAGACCATGTCCTGCATGTCTAATTTAACAATAATTACAGTAGCAAGTTAATCATGAGTTAATAAAACATCAAAGTGAATTAAGGCAATGAAATTTCAGATTTAACGATGATTAGAGCTAGAGAAACAAAGCATCTGAAAGTTCTATAACTTTTATTAACCTGTTCAGTAAGAAGAGCAATGTTCGAACCAGCTGCAAGGGCTACAACATTAAATTTATCAGAATGCTCAGCCACTATATTCAGTGTCTGCAATAAAAATACAAGGGAAACAATGCCTTAGATGTAAAAAAAGCAGAGAAAAATCAACCACACATTATGTTCACTTGACATTGCAAGATTCAAGAGGAAGGGTTAAAAAAACAAAACAAAACAAAACTTGAGCTCAATAAGTGTATCAAAACATAATCTAATGATGGAAAAATTGAGCTCAACAAGCGTATCAACAAAACTTCAACCTGAGTTCCGATCGAGCCAGTAGATCCCAGGACAGTGATGGGCTTTGGAGAATCCCGTTTCCAAGTCTCTTCGTCGGGAATCGCTCGTCCAGACCAAGCTGGTGGTGGGGACTGCAAATTGCAATAAACTCGTCGGCCTCCTCCACAACCTTTTCTCTTCAGAGAAAGACCACCTGAGAATCAAACCTTGATCAAAATTAGAACGACCTAAAACAGAACCGTGGGCGGCGGATTTCAATTTAATCAGCCAAGAATGGAGATAGCATTTTTAAGAGGGTATCTCCATTTCCCTCCACTTCAACCAATGTTTGAGATGGAGGAAGTGGAGGGAATGGAGATAAGGAAATTGAGAGACCCTCCACTGCACGGATTTGTGACTAGCAACAACAAAAAATGTGAAAGGCAAGAATAACTACCGATTCTTAATACTCATATGGATTAAGTACTGACGCTTTTTTGCCTGGAACCGTACGATTAAAGTACAGTCTACAAAAACTATAAATTTTGTTCATATCTTCAGACTTCAATCAGAGTCGAGAGTCCAGAGATGAATGAATGAGTGTTGGTTGGACGTTGACAGGCGTTGCCCTTCCATGGAAAGGGGAATGTAAAGTTGGAAAACATACTCTTAAAAATAATAGAAAAAATTTATTATTTTTAGAAATGTCTCATTTTCTTTCTTTCTTTTTTTTTTTTTTTTAATATTTCCTTCCTACCCTTCCTTCCTCTGAATCAAAAGTCACAGGGGAGCACATTCCTTCCTTTTTGTTACCCTCAGCCTTTAACGTAATTATTATTAGGATTAATAAGTATCATAAATCATAAACTATTATGTTAATAGTATTTTAAATTCTAAACTCTCAAAATATATAAAAACTCCTCTCAATTTTGTAATTTTGAGTGTTTTACATCTTGCAGTTAAATTGAAAAAATTGATATTATTTTTATAATTGTGGGGGTGATGTAGCATTTATTTTGATCTTTTAAAATAATGTCCATTTTCTCAGACTAAATGGTAGGGTTTGATATACTCAGAATTTAAAAGTTAAAAGGAGTTTTTATATATTTTAAGAATTGAAGATCTAAATGTTATTTGTACAATAGTTTAAGGTCTTGAAAATTTATTAATCCTTACTATTAATGGGAGGAAGATGGTTTTTTTTTTTTTTCCCATTTTTTTTCAGTCTTTCTGAACAATTTTTAACTTTTTTTAGAACAGATGACAAAAAATACATTTTTTAAACAATTTTTTTATTTTTTTCAAAACAAAATTCTAAACCTGGTTGATTCACTATTTTTATAATTGTTGTTTGTTTTGAAAAACAAAATAATGAAAACACTGTTTGAAATTTTCTATGAAAAACAAAAAATTAAAAAGTATTTTAAAAAATAAAAAGCAAGGACATCTTTTTTATGTTTTGTTATTTTTTATTAGGTAAAATAGAGAAAATATAGAAAACATTATGTTTTTTATTAATGAAAAGTATGTTGATAAGATAAACATTTATTTTACTATTTACTTCACCACTTTATATATGTTTTTAGTTTATAGGTGCTTTGTTTAATTAGTCGAGAGAGTTTAATTAAATTATCTTAGAGCCCTAAATTCGAATCTGTGAAGCAGCTCTAATCTAAAACTTGTTTTAAAAAATTACCTTATAAAATTGTTTTAAGAATATAAAAACAGAAAACTAAAGCAAATAAGCTCAATATCAAATGGGCTCATAATTTTTCCATTATGTTGATAATCCACAACTTTCAAAAAAAAACTTATATATTTAATCTTTTAGATTTGATATGTTTATTTTCAATTAAATAAAAACATGTGAATTTTTTATAAATTATTTCACAACAAATTTTTATTATCAATATTATTAACACATTAAAATTTACTTGTTTTGATATAATTAAATAAAAATATATTAAATATATAAGATTAAATATATGAGGTTGTTCTTTATAACTTATTTGGACTTGAAAAAATATAAAATGTTATGCGTGTCAATTTAAGAGCATAACATCGTGTTCAAGTTTAAAAAGACTGATTCTAATGAGTTTAGGATTTAAACGAGGCAAACTCATTTAAATCTTTTTACTTTTTTATTTTAAGAAATAAAAATTGAATTTCATCCAAAAAAGAATTGAAAAATGAAATCTTTTTTATAAACCCTAAATCTTAAACACAAAAAATTGAAATCTAAAAATCAAGCACCTAAAACCATAGTTACACACACGCACAATGGAACCATAGTTTTCATTTCGTTCTTTTTTGAAGTTTTACATCTAACCTCACATGCACTTCCCTTTTCTTTTTATTTTATTTGTGGATTTAGACATTGGAAATTTTGTATTTTAGGTAAGTATTTCACTTAGATAAATATTTATTTAGAATTTAAAAAAAGCTAGAATGGTGTCTATTAGTATTTTAAAATTATATAATTTTTAACAAAATAAAGTTATAAAAATTGTGATTTAGTGATTTAAATTATAAATTTTATAATTTTTTGGCCAAAAATTATAAATTTTATAAGTTACTTGTATATTTATAGGATAGAACAAACAAATTCAAATGCTGATAAGTGTCTGAAACCCATAGAGGTAGTCCTAATGAATTAGAGCCAAACTTCAAAAATTAAAATTTATTGCATAAAAGAGCTTTTGAAATCAGGCCCTTTTAAACTAACTCAACCTGGCCAAGACTAAACCCTAATTCTGAACTTATTTAACAGTACATTGGATAAAAAATACATTTTAATTAGATTTTATTTTAGGTAAATCATATATTAATAATGTCCTCAAATTAGGATCAGAATTTGAACACAGACGCCAAAATCTTTTATGTTAAGTCATATCTCCATTAATCGGACCAATTTTGTCACTCCCTCTATTAAAAAATATAAGACATTTTTTAATAAATTGAATGTTAAAAAATATAAGGCATTTTTAATCTTTTGAAGTGTAATCATTACTTTTTTTTTAAATTACCCCTATTGATAATGATTTTATATTTATTATAGGATATTTAATAAGGGTAAATATGAAAAGATAGGATGGGTTTGAAAGTAAATAACTATTTTATTGAAGAGTGAGATTCAATTAAAAATATTTTATATTTTTTAATAGAAAGAGTAACATTTATTCTTGAATCTCAAACAGCTTATATGCTTTTACTCATGGAACCAAACTAACAGTTATATTGGTGTTTATTATTATTATTTTGGCCGGGAAAAGTTTTTATTGGTTGAAAATTTATTTAATTTAAATAAAACTATTATAGTTGAGAAAATATTATTTTTCATTCATGCAAGTTTTTGTATGGATTTGATCGGTAATTTATTTTTCCATGTCACTCTCGTAGTAAATAGATGAAAGTAAAAAACGAAAAAGAAAAGGGGTCCCCATATATATATATATATATATATATATAATTAAAATTGGATTAGATATTGAACTGAAAAGATCAGCGGTTTACAATTTACATGGTCTAATCAGATTAAATTAATGGTCAAACTGGTGACATAATAATTAAATTAAAAAATTATATATGTATTTAATAATCTAAATATAAGAAATAAATATGAAATTACTACTTAACTTAAAGATAAAATTAAATATTTTAAGTTTATCACAACTTAACAAGTCATATGATACAATATAATATCAATTGATTAAAAAAATTAATCATTTTTTTAAAAAAGTAAAAAAAGAAAAAAATAGCATTTTTTGAATAGCCTGTTTTTAAAAACCAAACTCAGTTCTTGATCTTACCGCCGGTCCAAAGTAGCCCAATCTGGCTCAATTCTCCAAATGGTTTTTTTGGCCAGTCCGACTGTCCAATTTAATTCAGTTTTTTAATCATCAATATATATATATATATATATATATTTATAATATAATATTCATATGTATTTTGCATGAGAAGGAGTGCTATATGAGTGATAAAGAAGATTAACCTGGGAATTTTGCAAAGCTATTATTGGATTTGAAGGTATCCGAGAGAAGAGCAGGTTTCGCTTCAGCTCGAGAAGCCAAACTCAGAGGCACATGAATTGAAAACCAACGTCGTTCTTCAACTTTCAAGTTTCACACAAAGCCCATCACCCAGATCATCTATATATATATATATATATATATAGAGTAATATTTTCCAGCACAAAATTCTAATTTTATATCCATACAAAAATAATAATAATAAACAGAACAGTACAAGAATAATTATACCAGTCTGATATGATCCAAAACGTGTGTGGTATAGGATTATTGCGGAATATAGTAAGTTGTGATTTTTATAATAAGCCTATTATTATTATTGTTATTATAATATAAGGGCGAATTACTTTTGAAGATCTAGATGGCCAGCATGGCCAATACTCGCAACGCCGCATACAGTCACAACAACTTCGAGTTTGGGGGCGCCACTCAGATTACCGGAAGTAACTACACGACGGAAATAGCAGCGCAACGGCTTCAGCAGAGTCGTTCGGGTCAACTCAGTTGTCGCCGATCTCGGACCTGACATATTATTATTAATAGAGAACAGCGAGTTCCCCCCACGGGCTACATACAAAACTGGACGAAAGTGAGTTTCAGCTTAACCTGAAATCTTATCTCTTTTATAAAAAAAATTAAGTTAGGTAATCTATAATTTAATCTTATCCAATAATAATTTAAAAATTAATAGAATCGAACTTGATTTATAGGATTAAGAGACTGATCCTATTAGTTCAATACTTACCTTGCTTTTTTTCCTTTTTTTTCCATGAGAGGCAATAATTCATTTCAACATATTAAACTCAATTAAAATAATAAAAATACTTATAATCATAATAAATTTATAATAATTTTTAACAACAAAAAAAATATTTCAACTAAATCCAAGTGGTCCAAATTATTAAGTTATTAATCTTAGGGTACAACCATGCCAGGAACCAAACTTATTAAATTATTAATAGTTTTAATTTATTGTTATAAATAATTAGTAAATTAATTACAATCATATTAAATAAATTTAATAAGACCAAACTGGATCAAGTGATTCAAATATCTAATCTCCTGTTTAGTTCAACTTGAAAAATTAGTCTGATTTTTTTTCAATCTTAAAGAATCAATTTTTAACAAGATTGGATAACACTGAACCTTCTCAGGTCAGATTGGATTGAACAAAATCCTGTTTTATAATAGTATTAAATATCTTGTTTGCTCTCACCACCCAATCCTTCTATTTTTTCCCCATCTTTATCTTCTTTTTTTTTTTGGTTTTCTCTATTTTTAAGCATTTACATTTAGGGATAGGGCTGTGCAAAAAAATTTAAAACCCGATCTGCCCGGTCTAACCCGACAAAACCCGGTCCTTAAAAAAATAACCCAATGAAAGGACTGGACTAATCGGGCTAGACCATACCATCGGGTTAGACAGGATTACAGACTGATGTTTTGGACCATATGGTCTGGCCCAGTCTAGGTGAACAAATTTTTTAATATTAAATATATTATTTGTAATTTACAAAGCAAACATATTTTTAACTTTTAGTCAGACACGCAATTGTCATCTCTGATCTCACACCTCTCTTTGTCCATTTGTTA